GGAAAATACTGCATTTAACTTTTTGTGTGCTCACTTTGTATATTAGTAAGTATTTTGAGTCCCTTATAAACATTTAATTTTTTGTGTGCTCACTTTGTATATTAGTAAGTATTTTGAGTCCCTTATAAACATTTAATTTTCAGAAAATATGTTAATATGGATACAGTACGGCGATTGATACATGTATTCCGAGTTGGTCTAACCTATATTCAATATGGAGATGTTTAGTACTCCCGAAACGGATCTAACTTTAAAGAGGAATTCTACAAGGTGATTAAAAAGAAAAATCGGTATATCTTTAAAGTACTTCTCCTGAGGGAAATACATTTCAACAGGAGCATACTGAGAATCACAAGTTTTAGTCAGAAAAGTTTCCACATGGCATATGGGAGTTTCAAACACTGTCACAGGGGTGCAATATTCTTTCGTTTACTGAGTATCAAAAGTTGTTATTTACAAGTTATAAGCTTTTAGTTTTTGGTATTTCAAACTAATATATTTTGTGTGTCATAAATAAGAAAGCATGTCTAAATAATCACTGAACAATTCGACATTAGAAAAACCCTGAGATACTAAATCAATAAATTCACAAAGATTTATTTTAGTTTTACACAAAATACAACATCAATGTTTTTATAAAAATATTGAGTGAATTAACATTAACAGTTGCATTTTTTAGGTTATACATATTAGAGTTAACACCGTGAATCTTTTGTCTCTATCAACTAAGAAATGTTTTATACCTAAAATACCATTTTTTATTCGCGCTGATTGGTCACTGTTTTAGGACCCTCGCACGCATATTAGTAGAACAGGTTCCATACGAAAGGCAGACTGATCATGGGATGTGACAAGTGACTACTTGAGTCCTAAAAATGCAGAAGTGTAACCAGATCATGTTTAATCTGCAAGAACGGAGAAGAGCAATGACCTCTCATACTTTCGGGAGGTCATGATAGAAGAAGTGACGCTATCAAAGGTAATTTCTTTAACCGACTTTTCAAAATTATCTTTTATTAAAGTTTATCATCTGTGGCAATCAATAAGGAATGCGTCTATCACTAGAAATAAATATAGCTGTGAGCTGCATCTGGCGACTGACTGTTTCCAAACAGACAATGAACATGTCATTAAACAATTTGTTAATCTTAAAACTGCTTATTTCAGATGAAAACAAGAAAGCATAGCTTCGGTAGCTCTTGAAGAGCTAACTGGAGACAATGAATGATTGGAAGCTTTTCAGCTATTTTTGTATTGACTGTTGAGTAAAGTAAAGATATGGAAAAACTACACATCGTGTATTGTTATAACAATGCAAGTTTCCAAAGTTAGTGCAATGACGT